TGAGGGCTATGGATGTGCTGTTCAAAACTAGTTATTCATGTACTGCTTTTATGAGTTTGGCTAACTCCAAGTATAATCTGCTATCACTTAATATTTTTCTAGTTGATGTTCCTCTTTTTATATATTTATTCAACAATTATGTATTACTTATTGCATTAATATTTGCAGAATTATATATGAAACACTATCCTCTCCCCTTAAATTTTCAGTCTTATTTGGGGAATAAAATAAATAAATATAATACATTAGAAAGTGAGAGTGTTCTGATAGCGTGTGGTTCAGGATGGGTGTTTTCATTAGTTATAGGACCCATGGTTGTGAGTGACAGAAACCCAACCAAGTTACTTAGTAACTTGGTTACTAAGCAAGCTTTTATCTGTCCTGAAAAATAATGTTTGTGAAATCAAAGATTTCATGTGCTAGTTATATTTTTCTAATGCTTTCCAAGAGTGTTCAAATAAAAACGAATTATTTATGTTTAACCTAAAATCATCTCATGTATCAAGGCCATCCAGGTGCCTCACCTTGGGAAAGAGGATGCAAAAGATACTTAGGTCTTACCTTCAAGGGGCTTACATTCTACTTTGGGAAACCAGGCATCTGTTATGAGGCAGTAAAGACAAGGCAAGAAGCCTTAAGCTGTTGGTGTGAGAGACAGCTCATCAAACTATTTTAGAAAGCTAATTTGTAACAATAACATTAGATTTACTTGTATACTTTGATTCAATAATTACACTTCTGTGAACTAGTCCTTGTATATTCAAAATATTGGAGCCATCTTGAAGGTCAAAATTAAAGAAATTATATTATGACATTTCTATATTGTTGAGTGATATAGTATCATTAAAATCATCTTTAGGAAGATTATTTTAATAGTACGGGGAAATATTTGTAATATAATGCCAGGTGTGTAAAACAAGATATAGAATGATCTCAACTATATAAAATAAAATCCTTAGAATATGGGTAATATGACAAAATTAAACAGTACATTTTCTGAGTAGTAAGATTATGGATAACTTTATTCTTTCAATCTATATGTTTCTATATTTTCTCAGCTTTTATAATATAAATATATAAAATACAATAATTTATAAAATAATCATACTCTCATAATTAGGAAGTAAATATTTTAAAAGAACAAATACACAAGTAATTAACAGGCTAATTAAAATCTTACTGCAGTTCAGGGAGGATTTCATGGGAAAAGTGAGAAACTGAGACTGGGAAACTCTAAAATATTACAAAGGAAACAAAAGTTGACCTGGTAACCACCAGTATATGGAATAGGTGTTTATTTCAGTGAAAATTCTTGATTTTCATACTGTGATTACACAGATGAATAAAAGGAATGGGGTGTCCAGGACAAGAAGTTACCATCAGCTGTTCATGGCTACAAATGAGATCGACATAAATCACTTAAGAACAGAACAAAGAGCTTCATGAAGGTGGAAGAAAGCTGTTCTAGAGAAACAGAGGATTCAAGGCCTGAGAATAAAGAGAAACACATGTGAACAAATAGCAGGATTGGGAAGAACAGGACCACCCCTTGGAGCAGACATGAGTTAGGGAGGGCACTGGGACTTCTCTCTGACATTTGTCTTGAGGTTTTATAGGGGAAGAGAGGTCATGGAGATGCCAGTGAGTGCAGAAGGGGATTGTGAATTGCTATTTGGATTATGCAGTGCCTGCTTAGGGTGCCTTTTAATCCGATCATAAGGGTAAATCTAAAGGTTTTGGTGAGAAAGGACCTTGCTTTCTCAGGAATCCAAGAGGTGAAGAGCAGCTGTGTAGCTGAAGTAGATGAAAAAGAAAACGATTGCAACCTCAGACTGAGAGGTGGCCCCAGGAGTAGTTTAGCAATGCACTGAGGGTGGGGCTGGTGGGAGGTGAGAATCAGGATTCCATGGGCTGACCTGAGTCAATCAGAGTTGAATAACAGGAAAATACGTACAAGGGTTCGTACATTCTTCTCTTATGCCGTGTACTGTTTCTTCTCGAAACTTCCCTCCCAGTGTGGTAAATTTGTTTTCCTGGCTGGTTAAACTTACACTGCACAGAAGGCATTTACGCAAAAAGGAACACTGGTGTAGACCCAGGGCTACTGTCTTTGGAGACACCTTTGTTCAATGTTTCTGTAATTTTCTCTGGGGGGAGGCACTGTGGTAGGGGGACCTTCTTGGGGCTGTGCTGGGCTCTTACCCTGTTCTGCCCTTTCTGTCACTCTCTCGTGAGCCTCTTCCCTTTTCTTCACAGTCTCTCCATCTTCTGCATCATACCTCTATCTTGAATCTTATTTGCCTCCTGCTTCCCCTGCAGATCACTCACATGCTTTTATCATCATTTTCTCTTCCCAAACCATCATCTTTCAGGTCCTCTCAACAATGTCCCTCCTGTTACCATGTCCATCTCTTACTTCTCTCTAGGATCTTTCTGTCTCTCTTCCCTTTGGTTTCATATGGATGTTACTTTCTCTGACTTTCATTATCAGTCATCGGCGCTTATTTTAAAAATTAATTTCTGCCTTTCATTTCAATTTCCCATTTTCTCAACTTCCCTCTTCTCCTTGTATCCCCAGCAACACTTTAGCTACCTTGACATCCCCAAGTGGTGTTTTCTATACTTGCGCACTCTATCACTGCCCCTCCTCTCTGTTCAGTGTCCACATTCCTTCTGCCCACTTTCCATCCAATGTACTACTGCCTCGCCTTGTTGTTTCCTACTTTTCCTTTCACTCTTTTCTAACCCTGGATCTTGAATCTTCTCTATCACACTTATTCCCTTGGTGACATTAGTCAGTCTCAAATGTAACTTGTCTAGGACTGAACTCCCGATTTCTACCCCAAACCTGCTCCTCCTGAAGTCTTTATAATGTCAGAAAGCATTCACTCCATTCTTCCCGACCCAAATCCTTGGAATCATCCTTCATTATTCTCTTTCTCTCATACCCACATCTAATCCTTCAGGAAATCCTATTGTTCCTTCCTTCAAAACATACCCAGAATCTGACCATTTTTCCCCACCTCCACCCCTGCCACCTTGGTCCAAGCCACCATCATCTCTACTCTGGACTATCCGCTCCTCGATAGTTTCTCTGCTTCTATCCTTGTCTCCTCTTCAGTCTGTTCTTAAAGCAGCAGCCAGACAGATTCAGTCACTCGTGTACTCAATAATCTTCAATGATTTCTCATCTTGTAAGTGGGAAAGACAAAGTCTCAGTGGCCTATGAGGCCTTACATATTCTGGTCCCATTCTGTCTCTGACCTCACCTTCTCCTACTGTCCTCCCTATTTCACTTTCCTATACCAGCTTCCTGCACGCTTACAGGCGTGTGCCTGCCTCAGGGCTGTGAACTTGGTGTCCCCTTTCCTGGAAGGGGACCTGGGAGGCTCCCAGCCAGATACCCACACAGCTCACTCGCTTCCCTCCTTCAGGCTTTTCCCTACTGCTATCTCCTTCCTGAGGCGTTCCTTGGCCATCTTATATGAAATCATAACTCACTGCTCTCAACCCCCTGCAATCATTACTCCCCTTCCAGCTTTATTTTTATTCTTCATATCTTTCAGCACCTAATAGTGCATCTTGTTTTACATTTATCCTACATTTTGACTGTATCCCTCTTTTAGGAGGCAACCGCATGAGGGTAAGGGTTTTGTTTCATTCATTACTGAACGCTCAGGGTCCACAGGAGTATAAACTGCTTTTAGGAAGCAGTTTATAAGTATTTGAGGAATGAATGAGTAACTCCTCTATCTTTTACTTCCTGCCTTCTTCCCACCTCTTACATTTCATGCTTATCCTCCAGCTGTGGCTTTAATTCCATTTTTGACCATATTTATTCCTTTTGCTTTTCTATTGTGCAAACCTGCATCATTTATACTACTTTCCTCTGTCATTTATTTGGCTTTGTTTCTCTTCCCTGTAAGACATGGATCACATTCCAGGGCGACTTGTTTTATTTCTTACCTTTGTGTCTTTTCCCTTTTCAGCTTCTGCTCTAGCTCAGCCAGGTTCGTCTCTTATCTTTACTCTTATAGTTTTCAAATCCCTGCTCTATTATTCCTAAACTAGCATAAGATGCTATCTGCTAAGAAAATAGCCATAGCTGTTGACCATCTATTGCATAATCTAACATCAAGAGGGAAACAGTAAAAATGAAGTATGTCCTGAGGAGCAACGGAGGGAAGGAGAGGCCAGGAAAGCCTGGATTAGGCCCATAGGCTAATTCTTTGGCTATATTATTTATGAGGAGCCTCGGATCCTTTACTTAATACTGTTCCTGAGAACTGTGACAACTATTAAAATGGAAATTTAGCTTTTGGTGAAATTAGACCACTATTTATGAAATATGAGTGATTGTTCCATGATAGGCTATGGCTTTTCAGTCTTCAGGAACGTATTTATTCAATTTCTAATTCAGTGTCTCAACTGATGATTCATATCATTGATCTTGTGGGTCATACATCATGCTTTTTTTATTGATACATATTTAGACTTTATTATAACACCTATGGAAGACCCAAATTTAGGCACTCTTTATATCATATTTTCTGAAATATTTTACAAAGGCCTCATAATTTTTATAACATTTAATTCACTGGGCTCTCTTCATAGCAGATGAGAAAAATTAGGAAATGTAATGATGCCATTTTCCAAGTTTTTCCAATACAGTTAAAGCTTTCAAAATGAAGCTTAGGGGGCTTCCCTGGTGGCGCAGTGTTTGAGAGTTCACCTGCCGATGCAGGGTACACGGGTTTGTGCCCCGGTCCGGGAGGATCCCACATGCCGTGGAGCGGCTGGACCCGTGAGCCATGGCCGCTGAGCCCGCGCGTCCGGAGCCTGTGCTCCACAATGGGAGAGGCCACAACAGT